TGAAGTTCGTACACGCCTGTGATAAGGTCCATATGTCGTCCAAATCTTATCATCTGACGTTCCTTGAGAGGCCACTTTTCTCTTGTAATAGTTGTCCAGTGATGAATAATACTTGCGGCTTTGGACCAGCTGAAAGCAGCTTTCTAAAAGAGTTGATGTCAATGGGGAACCATGTTCTCTGTTGAAATAGGTCGAAGATCTAGGACGGGAGTAGTACATCCACAGAAATCTTGTCAAGAGCCTGCAGCAAGTGTCCTCAGCTTGCCGGACCTTTTCATCGTTCTTTTTGACGGTGCAACCTTAAAATTGTTTTGCTATATGCCGTCCTCTTCTGAGGCCTGTTCGAGATAGAGTAAGTGAGGAGGGGGAACTTTTCTTGGACAAGTGGACTATACCCAATGATATATTCGTCCTTGGATATGCATATGTCAGCGACTCTCCCGAGTCAGGGAGATGTTCCCAAGGAAGTCAGACGGAGTACTGAGCTAGTGCGAATAGTTGCTCTTGCGAAATAGCATCTAAATCTAGCATGGACTTTCCTAAGCCTTGCTGATTGCAACTCGAGAATTCCTAGTTAATTGTTCATTCAAGATTAAAACAAGAAGTTGCATCTAATTTATCCTGGGCTGGTTAAGAGTTTGAGTAAGATGCTGCAATGCATCTTAATTGTGCCAAAGTTAATATAATGCTCGTCAATCGATACCTTTTCTCTTCTACGAAAAGGTTTTGCATGCGATCTTCATCAATTTTACTATCCTAAATCCAGAATGTTGGTACCCAAGCAATTACAATTTAACAAGCAATAAATTAGACCAAATAATATCCAAGCAAGATACTTGATTAACAATGTTAATTTTTTGCAAATGAATTAAAAAATTTGTTCGATTGAACTCTCCACCTTCATTAGATTAAAGATTTCCATATGCCATGCAAATTGACTTTCCAAATATTTCTCAAAATTGAGAAAGCATACATCAAAGATTAAATTTTTGCCATAATGGAAACAATCAAGTATAGCGCATATAGCCATCCACAAAGCAAACACAATAACAAAACTTTGAATGAGATTATTGCAGCATTTCCCAACAAATCACAGTATATCTTTTCTACAGACTTGATAGTATTAGATTTGGAAGGCAAAAAGGAATCTTAGATGCCCAACCGTTTTGACAATTACCCCATATTATAGTAGATTTATTCCAAGTTGTGACCGTAACGTCGCCTTTATATTATAGATGATGGATTATCGTTGACTGTGGATATCCCAACCTTTGATGCCAAGTGCTTTCATCAGCTTTCTTGAACCGATTTGAAAATAATGCTTCTTTTATCACTTTTGAGATATATAGATCACTTTCACAATCTCCAAATGTTAGAACTTTGTCGTTCTCATCTTTCACCACAAACTAGTGGTAGAGAACTCAAAGTGTAGAAGATGATCGACTGTAATTTGGCTCACTGATAAAAAATTCTTTTTTTTCATCTGACAATAAAAAAGATAATAAATTCCTTTTCATTTAAGGAACAAGTGGAACATTTTTTTAAGGGAATGTTATCTTGGCCTAAATGGATTTGAGCATCACTAACATGGGAAATTTTAAGTGAGTCACCATTTCCAACCATAATTTTATTTTTCCCCATATGTGATTGTCAGTTAACTCATGTAATTTGAAGCTCTAGTATCAATGAACCATTCAGAATTTTGACTATCTCCAACAGTAAGGGCAGCAAATGTCTTTGGCACATGCTATGAGAGTAAAGACATATTAAACCGACCAAAGCAATCTGAAGCAATATGTCCCTGCTACATATTTGATATGGAATGACTTTGTCTGTTACTTCCACAATTTTCTTGATCTTGCTTTGGTGGAATTGTGACTTTTGACCCTGTCAATGTATAAAGTTGGCTTGAGATTTTCATTCTTGGACAATTGCTAAGGAAAATGGTTATTGTTGGAATATTAAAATTGTTTTTCTTTTTTTTTACCCTTAAAATTTCTTCTCCGACCAAAGAAAGCTGTCCCTTGTTGAATTGTAAGAAAACCTTTATTTGTCAGCAGACTGTCCAAACTTTGCAATTTCAAAATCAGGTTAGAGAAGGTTGGCATTAGAGTCTTCAACATGGAGTTATTCAATGAATCGTACTGACCACCAAAGCCATGAAGAGACCCTTATGTTTGTCATCAAGGGACCTCCAATAACAAATAACTCATTAAAAAGCACTAAAATACTCATGAAGAGATGGGAAATTATCTTTGTGACACTTTTGGATTCGCAGAAAAATAGAAACTTTAATTCTTCGGATACCTTGGAAAAAATGTTTTGTAATGCTAACCACACCTCGAGAAATGTCTTCAAGTCTACTATCGGAGCAAAAACTTCTCAGAGAGTGTCACAATGATCCATCCCCGCAGGAGGTGATTAGACCTTCTCCGTTGTAAAAACTCTAGATTTTTGCTCCTTGATTCAAGCTTCTTTTTAAGAATTGGGAGCTTCTTTTTTAGAATTGGGAGAGGTGGTTATTGTTGGACTGGACATCCAGTACTCACCATTAATGATTGCCACCGGGTCTTGGCTTTCAATTAGTGCAACCATGTGCTCTCCAATGAGAATAGTTTGTTTGTGTTAGTTTTAGTGACACAAAATTGCTTTTGTCCAAAGACGAGGCGTAAGAAAACTTTAGCATGCCAAAGGTAATAGTGGTAGCCATTGTTAGAATAGATTTCTTGAGAAGATTTTCTCTGATACCACAAAAGAACAAAGTGTTTGATTATTGGTCTCAATGTGTTACGTTGAGATGATTCCACTATATAGTGATCTCATAAAGTGTTACACTTCATATGGAAATAATTTATCAAAGGACATGTTAAATGACAAGATCATTATGTTATAAGAGCTGTCCATTCCTTTATCTTAGCATCTCCAAAAATCTAGTTGTGATTTTGAGGGAAAAGTGCCAAAAAAGTCCTAAACCTTTTGCATTAGTGTCAATTTAGTCATAAACTTTTTTTTGGTGCCAATTCAGTCCTAAACCTTTTGCATTGGTGCCACTTTAATCCTAAACCTTTTTTTGGTGCCAATTAAGTCCTAAACCTTTTAAATTGGTGTCAATTCAGTCCTAAACCTTTTGTTTTTGTGCCAATTTTGTCCTTCCGGCCAATGTTGACCGGAATTTGCCGAAGTGGACGCCGGCGGCCGGTCACCGGCGCCGATGTGGACAACTTTAATAATATTTTAATATTTTTTTGAATTTTTATTTTTTTTTCATTTTTTTTTTTTGGTCTTTCCCTCCTTCCTCTGGCCGGTCGCCGGTCTGGCGACCGGCTAGAGGCCAGAGGCCGGCAAGCTCGACCTCGCCGGTCACTGGCGAGGGCGGCCTCGCCTGGCGAGGGTGAGCCTCGCCTTGGTCGGGCGAGGCTCGACCTCGCCAGATCCGGCAAGGTCGGGCCTCGACCGCCATGGCGAGGCTCGAGCCCTCGCCGGAGGCCGCAGCGAGGGTGAGCCTCGCCATGGTCGGTCGAGGCCCGACCTCGCCGGATCTCGACGAGGTCGAGCCTCGCCCTACCAAGGTGAGGCTCGAGCCCTCATCGGAGGCCGCGGCAAGGGCGAGCCTCGCCATGGTCGGGCGAGGCTCGACCTCGCCAGATCCGGCGAGGTTGGGCCTTGACCGACCATGGCGAGGCTCGCCTTCGCCAGAGGCCGGCGAGGTCGAGCTCGCCGGCCCCTGGCCTCCGGCGACCGGCCAGAGGAAGGAGGGAAAGACCCAAAAAAAAAATGGAAAAAAAAATTCAAAAAAATATTAAAATATTATTAAAGTTGTCAACGTCGGCGCCACGTCAGCGCCGGTGACCGGCCGGCCGGCGTCCACGTCGGCAAATTCCAGTCAACATTGGCCGGAAGGATCAAATTGGCACAAAAACAAAAGGTTTAGGACTGAATTGGCACCAATTAAAAAGGTTTAGGACTTAATTGGCACCAAAAAAAGGTTTAGGACTAAATTGACACCAATGCAAAAGGTTTAGGACTGAATTGGCACCAAAAAAAGGTTTAGGACTAAATTGGCACTAATGTAAAAGGTTTAGGACTTTTTTGGCACTTTTCCCTGATTTTGAATCTCCATATTTTCTCTCTTTCTGCTATCTTTGGTAATTATTTTTCTGATAACCATATTGCTTGACAAATCAGTGTCTTTAAATAATACATCCACAGAGATCTCATGAAGACCAGGAGCAAGTGCCCTAAGCTTGCCTGACCTTTTATTATTCTTTTTGGCGGTGCAACTTTAAAATGCTATTGCTATATGCTGGACTCTTCTGAGGCCTGTCTGAGATTAATTAAGTGGGCTATCCAATGATATTTTCATATTTGTATATGCATAAATGTTGATTTTAGGTGTCACGCCTGTTTTGGGTTTAGTTTAAGAACTTAGTAGCCATAATTGAATCAATGTAAAGTGAATCCAATTGGAAAGCCAGAAAATTCTGGAATGGTTCAGAAGGATCTTTGAACTCTCATTAATTGAGGCTTTGGTGTGCTTGTGACCGATGGATCGATAGCCAAGATGATGTCATCCCAGCCAGGCGAGACCAGGCCTAGCCTTTTGGTATTCAAAATTGAATTTCATGAAGCAGAAAGATGTTCATTTCCCCATTCTCTTTGGCTACAGTTTACTCATAATAGTGGCGTATTCTCTGTCGATCGACCGCATTGGCCAAAAGATGCGTACTACAGATTTTCTTAGTGATCTTTTTTGGGCCTTTTCATTCACATGAAATCCTAGTATGATCAGTCATCCATTTACTGAGATGGTCAATCTTCTTGGAGAATGCATGCACGGTCCAAGGTGTTATATAAAGGGGAGTGTCTTTTTTCAAGTCTTCTTAGCCAAGGGGAGAATTGCTAGGAAAATGGTCATAAGCATGAGCCTTCAGATTTTTACAGGTCTCATGGGCACCCTTTTGACCTTCACCATGACATATACAACAAATCCATGGCAGTCGTTGTGTATGAAAACCAGGAGAAAAGTATGCTAATAGATATCATTGAAGTTATGACTAAGCATGAAGAGTAGAAGATGGGTGTAGGAAAGACATCTCTTCTTGTAGGGAACAAGTCTATAGGATAGATGAACTAGGTAGTCTGCAAACCTCTTGAAACACACATGATCTGTATACATCTCATCTCAGTTACACATAAACAAAGTATAATGCTGTTGTGAAGAAGAATTCTGTTATAGCAGAGTTCCATAAGCAGATGTCTGATTCTGTATTTAAGTCCGAAGCTCATTCAACAGCTTGTCAATGTTTATGGACGATGACCCATTAGGATCTGTTGCCTCCTGTGCTATGCTCTTCCACTCTGTGATTCTTTTCTTCATTTGCTTTCCCTTGTCTCCGTCCATCAATTCACTCACTAGCCTTTCCACTTCCTCTCTATTGACCACACCTGATAACTCCATACCAATCTCCCATTTACTACATGCGTAAGTGCAGTTTGTCCTCTGGTCCCCAAAAGATGGCCAACAAATCATTGGAACTCCTGCAGACACACTCTCGATTATAGAGTTCCATCCACAGTGAGTTAAGAACCCTCCAACTGAAAAGTGGTTAAGAACTGCCTCTTGTGGACACCAACCTGCAAGCATAATCCTTCCTTCTGTTTCTTCAATGAATTCTTGGGGAAGAACTGTTGAATCCCCAGTTACAAGGTCGGGCCTAATTATCCACAACAATGGATGTTTGCTATTGGCTAGTCCCATTGCAAACTCAATAAGCTCTTCTCTTGTCAAGACAGTTATGCTGCCAAAATTAACGTATAGCACTGAGTTCGGTTCCTTCGAGTCAAGCCATCGAAGACACTCTCTATTTTCTCTCCACAGATTGCAGTCTATAGATTTGAGGGGGCTCTCTTCCTTAACTAGTTTATTGAGAAGTAATGAGAGGGGGCCAATTGCATAAACGCGAGGATACATGGATGAAAGAGCATCAAGCAATTCTGATTCAAGGGCATCAAAGGTATGAAAGATCATTGCTGAGGCTGTATTTGCTCTCTCAGTGGCATCCATGGTAAAGTTGAACACAATATCATCAGGATCCGTGCTACGAAGGAAGGTTGGCAGGTCCCACAATTTAATGTCCTTCATTCCTGGAATCCAGTCAATTACGGTATCCAAATAGCCATTTGTTAAGTAGCTGGTATCTGCATCACGCATGATATTCTCAGTCTTAAATTGATATCGTATTACGAAAATAAAACCCTCTTCTTTACACGAGGAAGTTTAGCTTTAGGTCGGTGGACCTTGGGCTCAAGAAATACCCGTAACCTAGGACCAGGTAAATACAAGCCAAACCTCAGGTGGGTGGGCACAGAGTTGCTTGTACGCGATGTTTTGGGTGGTAATACATAAGCCATACACACATGTACGCTGCTTAATCACTGATTCTAATGCCAAGTTAAAATAAAACTATTTGCCTTGTACCTTTTAATGGCGTCAGACCCTTTTCCCTCAGTGTCCGGTATTGTTTGAATCCCATGAAGGCACAGGCGGGGATCGTCCACAAGCTTATGATAGGGATGCCGAACTCTTGAGCAGCGTCATTGGTGGCAAATGACATGAATCCATCGGAGAAAATGCATGTGACTGGAGGAAAATCTGACCTCGATGGGGTGTGGTTGAGATTGGAGATGAGATCAGAAAATGGAGCAGATATGTTCTTTCTGATAGCATCACATACAGCTAGGAGGTCTTGGCTCGAGTCTGCATCCGTGAGTGGAAGGCCGTCAGCGATGGTTAGGAACTGAAAGCCATGGAAGTCATCCAGTGCTCGATTGCCTCTCAACTTGAGTAAGCGTCGATGGTTGTACTCTGTATTCACGAAGGATATGTAGAAACCTTTTGTATGTAAAAGTTTTGCCAGTTTTAGCATTGCTCCTATATGGCTTTGGTATGGAGATGGGATACAAACGGCATGGCTTCTCTGACCTGTGGCTGGTTGGGTGTCCATCTCTCTCTCTGTGTCCCAGTGAATGCCAGGCAGAGCCAAAGTTGGCAACACTGATCCACTTTGTGCGGGTTGATGTGACTGCTCCTTTAAAATAATATACACTGTTCATCATCGTGATTAGTTTATATATAGCCATGCCACTATTTTGAAGGATCAAGACGCAAACTTCCATACAGGATAAGCGTGAGCGGTGACTTGGATTTTTCAAAACTAAGAAAGATTGACGAATGGAAACTTATCAAAGTATGGTAGATGAGCTTTTTTTACTTGTGAAACATTTGACGGGTGGTTCCTTTTGACAGAATGGTGGATGAATTTCTTACTTTGTCATTACAGTCATAATGCTTTGCCTGCTTTCGGAAACAAATGAAACTGCGACGAGAAATCAGCATACTGAAGTTTCTCGTCCGTTTGAGATAATGTCACATGCCGTCCCCAAGTTTTACTACCTGAGTTTCCTTTAGAGGCAACTTTTGTCTTGTAATAGCTGTCCAGTGATTGAGAATTACTAGCGGCTTTGGACTAGCTGAAACCAGCTCTCTAAAACGGTTGCTGTGGATGGGGAATGGAATAATGACGCAAATGGCCTATGAACTTTGACTCAATGTGTAATGTGACCCGGGAACTTTTAATCTATTCAATGTGGTCCATGAATTTTAGCCCAATGTGTAATGTGGTCCTTAAACTTTTGGTACCTATATGAAAATGTTCAATGTTGGACCACATTGTACATTGGACTACAGTTCAGAGACTTCATTGAACAAATTAAAAGTTTGGGGACAACATTACATATTTGGCCAATTTTCAGGGACCAATTGTGTCATTTTCCCATGGGGAATTGGCATAGTCTCTTGTGAAATCAGCCAAAGATCCGGGATGGGAACTATATATCCACATAAAAAATGCTATGTCAATTTTTAGTCCATTAATTTGGATGGAGTTCACGGAAATAATTGATTGCATCTATGACAAATTTTATGACTTGATTGTGCTTTTTAAAAGATTTAGGACTTAATTAAACTTTTGGGTCAAATTTTAGAACTTCCAGTATACTTATGTTTCATAATGCAAGTGTAATGTAATATGCAGTAATAGTGTTGTTCCAAGGGTGTTTGAGATTAGTGTAGTTAGAAGGGAACGAATTTTGCGATGAGAGGACTAACTCCAATGCTAGTTTGCTAACGCCTAGTTCTTTGCTTGAAGGCCTCTCCTGCATACCATAAAGAATTAGGGAGCAAATCGGTCAACGGCACAGAATTTGACTCCTAAACAAAAATATCGATAATGCATAATTCTGCATTCGTATTGTTTGTTGCATTTAAATAGTAGAGACATTTCCGCGTGGAACGGAACGTACTCCCGTTTGTAGATTTCATCTAAAGTGGCCCGACGTGCGACTCAATATTAAATTTAGGCCCTAAGCTCATTTGAATTGTCAAGATTAAGCCCATATGAGCCCGGCCTCTACCTGGGATTTCCTCTTCTCCTTTGCTTGGCCGAATAGGAGCATGTGCAATGCACGTACGTTCTAAATTACGAAAGTGGATGACAAACCAACAAAATAAGGAATGGCAAGAGGATTCATGAATATGTCTGCTTCCAACTTTTGAAGATCATCACCGCTTATAATCCGATCAACCTAACTTGATGACATACATACATACATACATACATACATACATATATGTATGTATAGTAATATAAAATTTCAGTATACTAGGTCACGTGACATTGGGAAAACGAGGCAAACTTTTCCTTTTGGAAACTAATTGGTGCAAACTGTACGACTTGAAATGTTGCTTTTGGATTGGCAATTGAAGTGACGGCCACCTTTACTCTTGTGCACCAAGTTTGAGTATGAAGGCATTTAGTCATATCCTAAGCATTTAGACCAATTCCATTAGACGTCGGTCTTCTCATAATAATGAACCTACATGCTTAAAGCTTCTTAGTTAAAGATCTCTCCCTGTTTGTATAGTATATCTCCAGGGCAACTATGAAAATGGACCTCTCTATCTCAATGTGCGATTACAAAATAGAGGTAATAATCGCTAGAGATGCGTAAGGAATACAAACTAAAGAATTGAATTGGCTCTATTTATGAGCTGTGTACATGACTCCTTTGCTTCTTCACAATCCATTTTGCAAATCCTTAATTTCCTCCTTTGAATGAGCTCTATTACCTCTATGCACGACTCCTCTTGCTAACCTTCATTTGTCTTTAATGTACTTTCACATATTCTCAAAAACGGGGAAGTGAGATTCACAAGGTAACAACCAACAATTCCTATATATATATTATCATGGTTCAATAACATGTTTACCGAATGTGCGATGGCTTGTCAGATTGTGTATGCATGTTTGCTTGAGTCAATCTCTTGGCCTTTGCTCTTGAATGATTCCTCTTTGTGTAGGTTTGTAGCCTTGATCTAAAGTACGATTAGTATTGCTCTCATGTTTGATTAGATGTGATTTAATCCCTAAGCTACTTGCTTGTCCCTCTAGGATTTGATTAAGTTCGGTTACTATGAATTCGATTTTATTGCAAATTCTTGTTAGATTGACATCTTAGTTGTTTGTTTGCATCATGATTGGCTATGTCATGTTTACTTTAGACGCAGACATGCATCGGGTGCGGTTCTGTTAGCTCTCTTTACTTTAAGGAATTCGTATTGCTAAATATACACGATGTAGTCCAAGTTGCACACCAATTCTCGGTCTGAATTGGTGTGCTGAAAAGGACAAGTTTGGCTTTTAAATTAGTAGTTATTTTCGGCATTCATGAGTTATGACTAGTATACATGTATGTACATTGTGATCCATCCATGTTGATTTCGCATAGTGTTTATATAGTTTGCATGTTTAAGTCATGCTTAGAATAGTCATCGCTTCGATTTCCAACATTATGTCGCTTTCATTATCTTCCAGTTGGCGGTCTTCGCAGGAATTCTAAGATTGAAAAGTCCCCAACTTAGGACGATGGTTTGTCAGTGCAAGTTTCCGTATATTCAGGGGTCACGCTGGAAACTGTGGTTTCGGTGTTCAAATTATGTGTGCATTCAGAATATAGGTTGATTCATGCATATAAATTTTACCGGCCTCATGTTAAATTCGGCATGTAGATTGCTTTACTTCGATTGTGGCATGTAATTAGTATTCAAGTTTTTATTCGGTTTTATACAAAAAATAAAATTGAAAAATTGATGAAGATTAAAAAAATGACCAAATTAAATAAAGATTGCATTTAAGTTGCATCTTTAACTGTGTTCATCTTTGCACCGTTAAGCATTTACCGATTCTGCATATTTTTTGCATAGTAGGATAGGACTCCATTTTTGCATCAAGATAACTGCTATATGACTGCTATATTACAATAAGTAGGATATTCATGAGTAAACGTTTTCATGCACACCTAGGCCATTCAGATTGCATAATTATTCAATTTCACTTTCAATTCAATAATTGCGTGTCACGAAAACAATATAAAAATATCTTGCAAGTTAGTAATACTAAATTGCATCCTTATAGCAAAGGTAACAAAAAATGTCCAGGAAAGCATTTAGGAAAATTTGCATACTCACACATAGATTCATTCTCCTAACATTGCATTAATTAGATTTTATTCCACATTTAGTAATTCATTTTAGGAACTTAATTAACATAGTAGATATTCATAGCACTTCATATTCGCATATTTACTTTCCTGTTTTGAGCATTTGTTTATTTTGGAAATTTTACATTAAGGTTCTATCTACAGCTTATGGGATCTTGTCCTGAGACTTAATAACTAGGCTTATTATTAATTTTTCACCGATACTATTCGAATTCTTTATTTTCCTGCATTTTATTTGCTTTATTTGTTTGGATATTATCGAATTATGGATAACATGTTTGCTCTAGTGATTTTATGCATGATAACCGGCCTTGCTTGACGCAGAGGATAAAATAGAGATAAAATTGGAAAGACCACATGAATGATCATTTTTATTAAGAGAGAAAAGGCACCAAATTGGGTGATTGAATATTTTTAGCATAACTAAGTTATCGGACCTACAAATCTTTGGTTTGGAGAAGTAAGACGGGCTCCTGCATTTTACTTAGGGTGCGAATGGTAACCATTCTGCTCCAGAAATCAAATTCTTGCCAGAAATTGATTTCTGGAGGAGAAATCTGTTTGGTAAAACATGACTAATTCTGCTTCAGAAATTGATTTCTGGAACAGAAATCTATTTTGATTTGTTGATTTTTTTTGCACCTAAAAAAATTAAAATTTTACTCAAAGTGGGTGGCCGTATATATTATAAGCCATTCTGTAAAGTTTTGAAATTTTTGATTTTTTTTAATTTTTTTTGGGCACCTAAAAAAATTTAAATTTCACTCAAAGTGGGTGGCCACAGATATTCTGAGCCATTTTGTGAAGTTTTGAATTTTTTTATTTTTTTGGGCACCTCAAAAATTTAAATTTTACTCAAAGTGGGTGGCTACAGATATTCTAAGCCATTCTGTGAAGTTATGAAATTTTTTATTATTTTTTATTTTTTTGGGCACCTAAAAAAATTTAAATTTCACTCAAAGTAGGTGGCCACAGGTATTTTAAGCCATTTTGTGAAGTTTTGAAATTTTTGATTTTTTTTGGGCACCTCAAAAAATTTAAATTTCACTCAAAGTGGGTGGCCACATGTGTTTTAAGCTATTCTGTGAAGTTTTGAAATTTTTGATTTTTTTTTGATTTTTTAAAAAAAACTTCACCAAATTTCATATTTTCCCAAAATCTGACTTTTTTTTATTTTCTGGAAATTTTTATGAATTTTTCTGGAATTTTTCAATTTTTATGCATTTTCTGAAAAAAAAAATTGTGAGAAAATAAGGAGAATGCATTCCGGAATCAAAAAGCTACAAAAAGTAGCTTCTCTTTTTCTTGCCAAAAACTCATCCCGGAATAAAAAATGCATTCTGAAATCAAGAATGCATTCTGGAATCAAGTATTTTTAACAAACGCATTTTTATTCCAGAATGCAAAAATCGCTCCAGAATGCATTCCGGAAATTTTTTAACAAACGCCATTCTGTTCCGGAATGCATTCCGGAACAGAATTTTTATTCCGGAATGCATTCCATGCGCACCCTATTCTCTTGATCGGCCCATAATATAATAGTCGCGACTCCTAAAACAAAAATAAATGATATAATTTGAATGAGAAATCAAGTTAGGGCCCATGCAAAGCCTAAGCGTCGTCTTGCAGGAGGGACCATTCGCGTCCTCTTGACAAACGGTCAAATTCCTTCGGGATTTACCTCGACATATTTTTGTATTTACATATGCTTAAATGCTGGTTTTTTGGTGTTCCGGCTGTTTCGCGTTTAGTTTAAGAACTTAGTAGCCAAAATTGAATGATATAAAGTAAATCCGAGGTGAAAAACCAGAAAATTCTGCAATGGTTCCTTTTTTTCTAAGTTACTGTTAGTTGAAGCATACTCGCGGTCGATAGACCACGTAGGCCAGAAGACGCCAATTGCATAAGCTCTTAACGTATTGTCAGGCCATTGCATTCAACAAAAGCATAGAATGCTCACTCATCCATTCATTAATTACATGGTCGATCCACGGAGCATGCATGCAGGGTCCAAGGTGTCGCTAAAGGGGAGCTTCTTATTTCTTGTCTTCTTAGCCAAGTAGAGAGATTGCTTGGAAAATGCTCATAAGCATGAGCCTTTGGATTTTTCCAGGACAGTTGTGGACAAGCCAGAGCATTCTAAACGATTTTTGAGTAGCTTGAGAGTTTCCCACTCCACTTTTTCTCCGTCAATTCAGGACGTCTCGATCAGTGGAGCCGAGGATCCACATACCCGGAACTGCAAAAGATAGCACACCTCCTCCTTAAGGATTTGGTCTGACTCATTCACTCGACGTTCTCATTCATTTTTCAACGAAAATGTTGTAACGTGTTAGCATGTGCGACAGAGAGATTAGGTGAGAAAAGGATATCGCAGAGAAAGATAAGAATTCTATGGAAAATGAAAAGAAAGGAGGTGTACTTGATAAACCCGTACGAGCTTCTGCAGTACATAGCTAAAATTTCTCTTGCAGGAGCCTGTCAGAATCAGCGGATGCTGCTCAAAGGACCTGTCTCAATTCAATTTATACGGTGTTTTGTGGTGCGCCTTCGGAATTTAGTTCATGGATGGTGATTAAACGGTAGATGAATTGCTCCGTAATGATGCTTAAATGGCGAAATCAGACTGATACAAAAGGTTAAAATTTAATGGATCCCTCAAACCTTGTACATAGAGGAACAGGTCAACAAGAAAATGGACCTATTGGCGGAGAGGAATGAATGCAGTTTTAGATTGCAGTATTTAACATATGATATTCGTTTTACGGTACGTTTCTGGAGTTCTCCAAATAATTTTCCAAAGAGCAGTGACTACTATATGCTTACAATGTTTCTGCAGCAAATAGAATATTCAAGAGATGGTCCTCCGGAAGAGTTCTGGAATACGCTTTCAACTTGATTTAGGGGAATCCAATCATGAGATCTGTAGAGCCTCTCTCCCTCTCTCTACTTTCGTAGATTAATATACACTTAGTAGTTGCTTCAATTTGCTTTGGAAGCATGTTAGGTCGTCCTCTCAAATAATACAAGAATGATACAAACACAAGTCAAACATGAAACCTGGCTTCATTAAGACAGGTAAGAGTAACCAACAGCAATTTCACGCTCTCTTATTGTCCTCGAGAGAGGAGAGAGAGAGAGAGAATGAATAAATGTGAAGTGGAAGCAAAAAATGGTAGTTTGCCTCACGCACAGGCACAAAAGAGATGATTACCTTATGAGTGAAGAAAAATGAAGGCGGAAAAGGACAAGATTGAGTCAAAGACAAGAAGACCAAACTTCGCTTTCCAAATTATTATGCATCCCAGAAACAAAAGGTCCCCCTCCAATCTGTTTTTCCCACTCTTCCCATCAATCATCCGCTCAATATTATACACCTATCTCACTTCCCCCATCAGCCAGTTAATCATGACTGTGATATCTTCTTATTCTCTCAGACGTATTGTCTCTTCCCTCTCTCTCTCTCTCTCTCTCTCTCTCTCTCTCTCTCTCTCTCTCTCTCTCGCGAATGCAGGTAATTAAACAATGATAAAAGCTAGCTAATAGTTTCATGAGAGAGCATAATATCCCATTTCTAAGCAAACCCCACAACCGTCGCCATCATCATCACCTTTGCCACACTTGGAAGCCTCTTCTCCTCTCTCTTTCTCTCTCTCTCTCTCTCTCTCTCTCTCTCTCTCTCTCTCATAACAAATAAAGGCTACCGTGTATGCATCCTATAGATATATAGAGCTTTCTCTCATCTCCATCAAGATAGTTAAAAGGATAGAAAGAAAGATATAGCAGGATCCAACAATGAGGAAGCCAAGTGAGACCATGGGAATGGCAATGGGGATTAAAGAGAAAGTAACCAGCAACCCTCATAATAATAAGCTGAGGAAAGGGTTGTGGTCGCCAGAAGAAGATGAGAAGCTGATGAGGTACATGCTGACCAATGGGCAAGGGTGTTGGAGCGACATTGCTCGGAATGCCGGCTTACTGAGATGCGGCAAGAGTTGTCGTCTCCGTTGGATTAATTACTTGAGGCCCGACCTCAAGCGAGGTGCCTTCTCTCCCCAAGAGGAAGAGCTCATTGTCCATTTGCACAACATTCTCGGCAACAGGTTCTCCCTCCCTCCCTCCCTCCCTCTCGGTAAACAAACGTTGATGCATGATAAAAATTAGTGACGGTATATCTTCCATGACGTTACTTCTTAAACATATGATATAATTTTATTAATATCGGTATAGATTTCTTTTTGTTTAATGCTAAATCATTAGCATTATCTGAGCCAAAAGAATGTAGTTGCATTGCATGCCACCCTTATTTTTCATATAACAACCGCAAATTAATGCTGAAATATTGTCATACTCCTTTTCCTAGGATGAGATCATGGAGTAACCAACTTTGCTTTGCAACCTAATGTTTCGAATGATGATCAGTTTCTAGCATTGATAATACCATCTCTAGAATTAGCTGTTAACCAAATCATCCTTGGTTATTTTCAAATATGAGCTGAAGAAAATTTTTGCAACTTGTAATCTATCACATTATTACTCTTTGACTATTTCATTGATGCATACTATACACGTCACTGTAAATTCAGATGGTCTCAGATCGCAGCACGTCTTCCTGGAAGAACCGATAACGAAATAAAGAATTTTTGGAACTCTACTCTAAAGAAGAGATTAAGGATGAACTCTGCTACATCCTCGCCAAATGACAGCGATCTATCCAATCCACGAGACATAGCTGCGGGGATAATGCCTAGTTTTCAAGCACAATATGACGTCTTAGCTACATGCGTGGACTCATCTCCCCCACCATTCCCCTCGATGGATAATATATCCGTGCCAAACCATTTTGATACATTCCCTATACTCAACAACCGCTGTGACACATGGGAAGGAGTCGGGTTTTTCACCTTCCCCTCAAGCATTGCACCAGCCAGTATGGGAGATGATTCAGCTTATTTGAATTTGGAGCATGCAAAAGTGGGGCTTTTAGGAAGTGAGTTTTCTGTTCCCCCACTAGCTAGTAGCACAACAACCACCGAGGAGAATAATTACAGATCCATGGGTTGGGGCATGGATGGAAAGGGAGAGAACAGCTTCTCCAATAACAATGATAGTTGCTTCAGCAATACTACTGTTGCTAGCTTTAAAGTGGAGGACGAAATGTCTGGGTTTGGGAATAATTTGCAAGGAGCTAACTTGAGAATCGGGGAATGGGACCTGGAGGGTCTGATGGATGATTTGCCCTCCTTCCCTTTTCTTGATTTCTAACTTCCATTTTCCATTTTTTTTCCCACCCCAGAAGATAAAACCCTCCTCCTCCTCTCTCTCTCTCTCTCTCTCTCTCTCTCGACCTACCCATCAATTTTCCCTTTTACAGAATAATGAAAGAACTACACACACATACAACAGAAGTTTGTTTATACTGCATGTTTCATACAATAAGTCTCTTCCTCTCTCCCATATGATTCCCTCAGCGGATCGAGATTCTGTACAATGAGGTCTTGGATATCGGAGATATCAGCAACGGAAGCTTGAATTGCAACTGTGAGATAAAGCAAGTTTACGTATCATTCGTTTCATGTACATCAGTTTCATATGAAGGTTTCTTGGTAGGGAAGGGTGTTGTCAAGAAATGTGAATATTACTCCAGATGTGTAGGAAGGCAGAATAAAAGACTAGTTTGGTGAGATATTGTAGCAAGATTCATGTAAAACAGCAAATAATGCCTACGTGGATTCGTGGAGATTGAGATTCATGTAAGCATCATCATGGAAACAAAGCTTTCAAATGAAGCATCTCTCTCTCTCTCTCTCTTCACTGACCGAACAACAGACAGATGCTTGTAGGGCAATTCACAAATTTCAGTAATTATTTACGGAGAAATGTGACATTGCTTTGAATATTTCATTTTTCTTAGAGGAGAAGAAGATTGCGATGAAAAAAATATCGGGAGAAAAGTATCACATGTCATGATCTGAACTTTTTTTTTTTTTATAGATATAAGTCAAAGTAACCTGAACCCGAAAACCCAACATGTGGGGAGCTCGGGAGGTCCAAATAATAATGTGAAAAACATGTTTGTAACGCGGAACTAATTTACTGTTTTTAATCACACATATTCCTTCCATTGATTTAAGACAATCTTTTCTTTTATTCAACACCATATACACCAACTTCACATACATAAAGTCATTAGTAATAAGGTGGTCCGTCCATAGACGTTGTTACAACATAAACTTAGAACAATCATAGACAATATAGTACTCAAACTCGAGTGATGCTTGATAAAAAATTCACACGCAAAAAAGAGACTCCAACAACAAAGCTCACTCGAATGACAAACTAGAGATCTGTCTAAAGTCTATTGACATGTAGGTACCGCCATTAGAACGCGAGAGGAAAATGGGCACCATACATCCATGTTGAGTCACGCACCGAATGTAACTCCTAATTGAAAAAGAAATTGATCCTGTCAAATCTGGTACTCCAAATCAATCTCTATCGCTTTCAGACGTCTTAGGAAAAAATTGTTGCCATCTTCTAAAAGTCTCAAAAACATAAATATCGAATGAGCTAATGAACTCAGCAAGTAATATTCTCAAATCTAGTATCCTATTATCTCAATTATCTAAACTAGTAAATAATAGCACTAGTAGTCAATGCACTTCATATAAATGAATCAATCATAAATGTCACCTCCACGCCAAGAGATATAGAAATAAAGAGTATGGATGGAACATTTTAATAACACAAATCCAATGCATACATATGGACAAGTAAAAAATGATGTGTGGATACCACATAACATCACACTGATATAGACAAATGGGGTTACATTCGTATCGTGTATTGTCTATCAACCAAAAACTCATCTCCTAAGGTACTACAGGGGTCTCTCTTGATTGGCTTGTTGCGCAATCGCTAGCCATAATCAGTTGCGCAAACCACAACCTGGCGGGGCCTCCTTGAACGTAATGTTTATTAACTAGGACTTGTGTATAAATAAACAAAAAGTAAAAGGAAAGGAAGTTACGAAGAAGGAGAGGATCAATTATTATTGTTTTTGGCTATCGCTGTCGATTTCAGTTGACCAGACCCGAGAGATGTCATTGAATGGAGGCAATATCTGGCCCATAACCATCACTATTTGCTTCACCCACTTTCGGGTTACGCATTGGATTGGTTCCTTCACCAGCTTTCGTCTCAATCTATTTTTCTTCGCATGCCCGGTCAAGAACTGGGTTGATCCTAGGCTCTATTTGTTAATGATTTGCGCAACGTTTTCCTAAAAAAGATTATTTGTATCGCTTGAAATAATAAATTAATAAAAAATATTTTCATTATCAATAATAATTAATTTTTTAATATTTTTGTACGACGATGAAAATATTTAACGTTTATTCATTTTTATAGGTGATTCAAGCGATCTTGTTTAGGTGAATAATGTTCTCCAAATAAATCATTTTTCGCGAAATAAATGCACCGTCATTATACATGTTCCAATTGGGGAAGATGAACGTTGACTTTGGAATTAGAGGATTCACGAGAAATCGTTTTCTTGTGACATAATCGAGATGTTATATGGCCAAGAAGGAGCGGATTTGAGGCCTCATTCACGCTTGTTATCACTATATTACAAAATCAAGAGAGATCCGTGCAGTACTTCTTCTTTGACATTGAATAGCAAGCCAATAGTCGGATACCACACAACCAAATCTGGCCGGGTCGCATTACCCGGGTTAGATTTCCTTTTTTTTTTTTGTTTTCAGATTTCCCTTTTTCCTAATTTTTTTGATTTTTTTTGCTTCCCAATATTCCTTATTTCTGATTTGTTTTAAAGGTGACTTAACGGCTATGTCGGCAATTCTAAACATAATTTTGATGGAAGGACCGTTTCGAATGAAAAACATCAAGTTTGGGGTTGAACAATATGATAAAGTTAAGGGACCTCCTCCACCAATTATCCCAAAAGAGGTACGCATCTTGTGTTTAATGCATGACTACATCTATCTGTAGACCAAGTAATAGTGTACATACAAGGGGCAGTGACAAGAAATATATTGGAACTTTTCTTCAATGTTCAAAATAGTCCATGAATTTTTTTTCGTTTAATAATCTCTAAATTTTCAAAAATCTGTTGGATGTATTTTTTTCATTAAGTACATGACCGTGTTACGTGCAATTTTTTTTTACATGGACGGCCACGTATGTGTTTTATTGGGCCAAAATAATGATATAGATTGTCACATCGTTTTTTTAAGTCGGCAAATCTACGCATGACATGATGCACAGGAATGAATGGTAATTACAATGAAATGAGAAGGGGTAAAATATGATATACCAGGATTTGCCGAACTAATCCACAAAGTGAAATACTTAGCAGTGAAGTAACACCCAGCAAAAGGTCAACTGACTCCTGCATTACCACCCTCCCAGAATCCTACCTTCGCCGATTCATCTTATATTCTCGATTTTTATTGTGATAATTATCATTTTTGTGAGTGTTCTTCCTAAGCGATACCGTATATTTTTCATCATTATTGAGATTATATATGTCAACACTAACAAATGCTGGGTTTGTTATATACAAGAAAATGTGAGTACACTTCGCCACTCACTTTCACCATCCGCAGAAAACATGTCGAAACTGCTTCTTGTCTTCCTCTTCCTCTTCCTGGTTGAGGATGGTCATGTCTCTTCCTCCTCCCTCCTCCTTCGTTACCTCAAGAAATCATCTTCTTCTTCATCGACACCCGTGATCTCTCAACTCGGACCATCGCAGCCAAACTCAGAGCTCGTAGTCAATCCTTCACCGTTTGATCACTTGAAGTTCTTGACCCCATCCTGCGTCCTCTCAGTGGCCCTCCTCCCCCAAACCCTGCCAACATCAGTCCTCTATTCTCCGCCATCCGATTGCCCCTCTCCCTGGTCACACGTCTCCCTCCAGATCCGCGCCACCTCACCTTTGCAGCACCAGTCCAACCACTTGCTTAGCCTCTGGCTCGGTGGCGCCGAGCTGCTCCGTACTAGCACGGACGGAGCAGGGTGTTGGGAGGTCCGGAAGGACATCACCAAATACTCCTCGCTCGTTTCGCAATCCAGCATCCATCTCATGCTTACTTCCCTCCACTGGCCCTCTAACGTTGCGGTTTCATTGGCCCACCTGGTCAATGTCACTCTGTTTTACTACAACCATGATTATAGCTCTGTAATCTCCGATAAGATCACCCTCCCGGCGACCGTGTCGGGTGAAGATTTGAAGCGCAATTCGGTCTCTCTGCATTATTCTGATGACCCAAGTCCATCAAACAGTGAAGATCAAGTGCGGGAAGCTCCACGGAGTTCAAATGATACACCTCCCGATCTGATCATACCGGTCAACGGGGATGGCGGATTATGGTTCAGAATCGACAATGAGAGTACCGTCCAGTCAAAGGATGTTCAGCTACCCTGCAATGCTCGCCGAGCAGTACTTGAACTGTATGTGTCATCTCATGGAAGCGACGAGCTTTGGTACTCCAACTTTCCTCGTGAAATCGAGCATCGAGCTTTCAGGGAAGTTTTCGTGATGATTGATGGCAAAATTGTCGGATCAGAATCACCAATCATAGTTTTGCCGTTCGGAGCATTTAGTTTCCCGTCTTATGACATCGAGCTAACACCGATTATGGGCTCCATGTTGGACGGCAAGCCACACCGTTTTGGCATTGGAGTTTCTCACGGCAATCCCTACTGGCTTGCAAGCGCGAATCTTCACGTTTGGTTGGATGAGCAATCACCAGCAGTTGAAGCGAACTCCATATTGCATCACTACCCCGCTCTTCACTACGAACAGGTGTTGGAGAAAGCCCAAGGGTCATTGAAGGCAAAGGCGAAGAGGAAGATCAAGCTCTTGGGTTGGGTTAAAACCAGTCGAGGTAATTTCACCACTCATGTATCCCAAGAACTTGAGTTCGAGAGCTTCATAAGGTACGAAAAGGACGGAACTTGCAGAGGGACTGCGATGATGGAGCACGAGATTGAATCAGAGAGAGAGGTGGTTGTGAAATCGGAAACTGGTGAGATAATATCCAAAAAGATAGCAAAACGAAAGTATTATGTCACTGTCAGCACTCAAACTCTGTTGGAATCAGATGATCCGAGTGCGTGTCGAACTGCGGTGAACATGAGCATGAAGGAGAAGCATGTTGAGGGAGATAGGTCAAGATATTATTACATCAGTCGAAATTCAGCTGGGTTGCGGGAAGCGAAAGAGAACAACCAAGCAGCGACTGGAGGCTCCGTAAAAACAGAGCAAAGGCTGAGTTATAAGGATAAAAGGGGAGGTTGCTACTCCAGGACTGTTGCTGCGGTTGATGGGAAAGTCATCCAGGATGAAACAGCCGTCGGTTGTGCAACTGCTATGTGAATATATGAAGACCTCTTGGCCATTAGTGCTCATTTTCACGCTCCGTAGTGTAAAGCAATATTTACGTGTGCTTGAGATGCTTATGAGCTCAATCCATACATGCCGATAAGGTCCAACCCCGGGCCCAGTGGAGTCTCCGACATCATTTGGAGCTCATGTGCACGCATAGTATGAGGCGCAAAGTAGCTGTTTGTTCTTGTCTGATGTGTGCCTTTTGTTTTATACATAAGCCCTGTGAAAATGTTGGCAGTTCTTGCAAATTGAATGTGATTTGGGGACTGTGAAAATGTATGCGCGGTGTGTTCAAGTATTGGTTGGGGATTTCCACTTTACCATTAGCCTTTCATATGTTGCACGTGTGCTCTCTGAAGGTCGAGAACGAAACTACGCACAAAAAAACATAAGAAGTGGGGACAAAATATTAAACGTCGCCTGAGAGATTCGAACTCTCGCGGGGAAACCCCATGTACTTAGCAGGCACACGCCTTAACCACTCGGCCAAAGCGACCTTTACGGTATAGAGAGCTATAAATATTTTCTTAAACGTTTGCGTTGAGGGCTTTTCAAACCGCACGGCCCGGACCGGGGACCGCCCGAACCGGCCGGTTCGATCCGGTTCTCATGAGTGTTGGTCCGGTTCCCCGTTCTTAAAAGTGAAACCGGTGTTTGGGCGATCCGATTCTCGGTTCCAAGGAGGAATCGGACCGGAACGGACCGACTACATATATATTTTTATTTTTTATTTCTTCAAAAAAATTAGTAAAATGTGAACTCAACCCACATACAGTGCTTTCCCCTTATCGTCGCACCACAATGACTTTTCATTCTTCAACTCTTTCTTCAATATGTTGAGATTTGTCACTCTTTCCCATTATGGTGGGAAAAAAAAAAAGTGATCGGTTCCATTGGATCGGACCGGAATTGGATTTGACCACCGGTCTAGTTCAGTCCCCAGTTCTCAAAATTGGGAAGCGAGAACCGATCACCCCTACAGGCAAGTTGGGACTAGCTGGATCCAACAATGAGGAAGCCAAATGAGACCAACGGAATGGTGGTGGCGATTGAAGAGGTGCAGCAAAACTTACATCGGAATAAGACGAGAAGCTAATGAAAGAGATGGATCACTAGAAGAAAATGAGAAGTTGAGGCAAGGACGTTCGAATGACATTGTTTGGAATGCCGGCTTACAGAGATGCGGCGAGGGTGGTCGTCTCCATTGGAGTAATTACTTGAGGCCCAACCTCAACATTCTCGGCAGCAGGCTTTCTCTCTCTCTAAACAAACGTCGATGCATGTTAGAAATTATCGATGGTATATCTTTACTGACGTTCCTTCTTAAACATAAGATAGAATTTTTTTAGTATCGGTCTATGTTTTTTTTTTTGGTTTACTACTAAATCACTAGAATTATTTGAGCCAAAAGAATGTAGTTGTGGCACTTATTTTTTATGTCACAACCTTAAATTAATGCTGAAATATGCTCATACTCCTTTTCATTCCTAAGATGGGATGATGGAGTAACCAACTTTGCTTTACAACTTAATATTTTGAACGATGATCAGTTTCCAACATTGTTAATACCATCTCCAACAATTATATTTATGTTAACCACCCTTAGTTATTTTCAAATATAAGCCAAAGGAAATTTCTGTAACTTGTAATCTATTATGTTATTTCTCTTGACTATTTCATTGATGGATACAACACATGTCACTATAAATTAAGATGATCTTAGATTGCAGCGTGTCTTCCTAGAAGAACCGATAACGAAATAAAGAATTTTTGAAGCTCTACTCTGGAGAAGAGATTAAAGATGAACTCTGCTACATCCTTGCCAAAAGACAACGATTTATCCAAGCCACGAGACATAACTGCAGGGATTATGCCTAGTTTTCAAACACAATATGACGTCTTAACTACATGCATTGACTCATTTCCCCCACCATTCCCCTCAATGGACAATATATCCGTGCCAAACAATTTTGATCCATTCTCTGTTCTCAACAACCACTATGACACATGGGATTGCACCAGCTAGTATGGGAGATTATACAAGTTATTTGATTGACACCTAAAATTTGGCTACCTTATTTAATTACTCACTAGGCATCATGCATCTCATAACATTGCATTTAGGTAACAATAACATTTGGGACCAAACTTAACTGGTTTAAAATTATTCTTTTAAGAAATAAAAAATAAATAAATAAATAAAATATCTTTTGAATTCAAAAGTGGAGCCATATGGTTTAGTCAATTCCATTGAAGGGTTTGTCAAGAGGGAGGAAGGGGGCCCTTTCACATAGAGTCTAACACAGAGAAATTTGACTTGTATGAGAGAAAAAGTAAAAAGAAAGAGAAAGAGAGTTCGCAAAGGAGAAAACAAAAGGAAAGAACAAGAAAACAAAAGGTAGAAAGAAATATCGGGGAGAGAGAGTCGAAGAAGATGTCTTAAGGTCCGTGTATCAACATGGCCGTCACGCATTTTGGTGCTCCAATGACAATATCCCGATGTCCCCGTAAACTCCAAGCGACGATCTCAATCTCATCATCGTTGTGTGGCTGCACCAACTTGCTCATTTTAGCAGCACCTTCAGCAACTCCACTAACGACGAACCCACTGTCCAACTCCTATTTCTGTCACTGCTTGAAGGAGGGAAAAAGTAAAAGAAAGAGGGAGAAAGAGAGTTTGCAGAGAAGAGAACAAAAGGAAAGGACAAGAAAATAAAAAGGTAGAAAGAAATATCGAAGAGAGAGAGAGTCGAAGTAGACGTCCCAAGGTCCGTGTCTCAACACGGCCATTGCACGTTTCAATGCAACAACGGAGTTCTCCCGGCGTCACCATAAACTACCTCCGAGCATTAAAGATCTACTTTTTCGTCAATTCTTATAAAATGGTCAGTGAATATTTCTACGCAAGTAAAAAGCCAATCGCTACATATATCAACTAAAAACTAGAAAACTCAATCCAAAAATTTAAACTCATAAGTAGAGAGAGACCATATGAATATAAAAATCATTATGATCCACTGTCAAGCGATCCGAGACAATACTTCAACTCCTCCTTTCATGTGTAATTCACGTGCAAGTAAGATTACCTCTAAGCTAATAATTACTTGCATTGCGTTTACACTGTTTTAACTAATTACAATTGTTGCTTGTCTGGATTTACTAATCCAGGCTAAAAGGTACTTGTAATTAAGGTGGCTCATGTTATTCTTCTTTCTTTTGCAATGCAAAGAGTGTTTCGAGGCTTCAAGCATACTAGTTACATTAGATCCAATACTTATATATGTCTAGTATTTACGTGTTAGTGGTGCGGCAATTGCGCATATTCTTTCTTAGTAAGTAGTAGGGGTGTCAACAAAAACCTCGCCGGCCCAGCCCAACCCAGTCCTAAAATTTAGGTTATTTTGGGATTGGGTCTTATCTTCTTTGGGTGAGGCTTTTAGGTGTGGGTATTATTGGGTTAGGGTAGGGTCAGGTTTGAACCATTAACACCGTGAGACTACCCATGGGACACAATCCACACATCTCCCTCTCACTCTCGTCTCTCCCCTTCTCTCTCCTCTCTCTCTCTCTCATTCTGCGTGACGAAACCCTACCTTCCCTGCAACGCTTACTCGCTCCCTCCCTCCATGGTGCTACCAGATATCTAAACCAGATCCTGCACATCTTCAACTGGATCTGCACTGGTTAGTCTCGATCTCACTCCATCGGTTCTCGTTTCTTTAATCTCTCTCTCGTGTGCCTGATGCCTCTTTCCCTTCGTCCCGGTCCATCTTGTAAGGAATCGGGAGCCGCGGTTACCCGTTCCGGGCGTCGGCGGTGTGGATGGAGCGGTTTGATGATAGCGAGACTTGGCTGAGGTTTTGGTGTTTTCTTGGTCTTCTCGAGACTTTGCAAGAGTTGCGAGTTTTTTGCCTTAGTGGCAAATGGGAGAAGGAATTGCCAGACTCTAGCTGTGGCAATCCGTGAGTAGCGCATGGGAGATTGATGTAGCAATTTATATGGAGTTAACACACGTTTTGCTGTTTTCATTGTCTTGCGAAATTGGTCCCTGGATTGTCAATCTCTTTGGCTAGGAATTGGGAGGAAGAGGTTTAGGGCCCGTTTGGTAACGTGCCAAACAGTGAAAATTTCTGTTCTTTTGTTCTAAAAATAGTTTGGGAACAGAAATGCGTTCGGTAAACTTTTTGTTCCTGGGCACATTTTTGCAAATATTTGTGCCGAGAAACAGTTTTGGAAGAGAAACAAGAAATAAAAAAAGTTGCTTCTTGTTTCTCGGCATAATTTTGAGAATCAGTTTTTTTTCTTCTTTTTTCTTTTCTTCTTTTTGTGTTTCTCTTCTTGGGTTGTGGCCGGTCGTCGGCGATTGGCGGCCAGCGACTGGCCACAGCCCAGGGCCGGCGAGGGCGTCACGGCCCTCGCCGGCCGCCGGCAAAGGCGAGGGTCCCCCTGCCGGCGAGGGTGAGGTGTGACGCCCCAGAACGTCACGCGAAACACGTACCAATTAATATTGTTAATAAAATGGCCAACGGAAGTCAAAGTCTGAACAAGTTGTCAAAATACTTTTGCTTCTCCTTAACAATACTTGTGAGAATTACAAGACCAGACAATACATCATAAAATCACAAAGAACAACATCTGGGTAGGTCGAGGTTGCCTATCTCCATGCTACAATTTACTCCAAAGACGGCCCGCACAAAAGTGGACCTTACAACAAGTTGTAGATGTCATCGCCTTTGTATCAACCTTTATCTCGCATCAACCCATATAGTAGATATACATCTTGTACAAACTATATCCGCCCTCGGGACAAGCATATCAACGTACTGGCATTCATAGTATTTAGAGAAAAACCAGCAAGCATTGGTAGCAGGTTTGTCCATTCCTACATGTCTGAAAAATAGTGGGATGAGCCGAAGCCCAGTAAATGAAATCTCTAGTTTTAAGTTAGGAAAATCAGCTTACCACTTCACCTGGCATAAACACATACG